CAAGCATATGTAAGTCTTTCAAATAGGAACAAGAAAAACAAGATGGAAGGTATAGGTAGGAGCATTACTAGAGCCAGACTACTGCCTGCACAACACTAGAGCCACCTGGCTCATCAGATTCATATGGTTCAAGGTTGTTATGGGCTGAAATGTGTCCCCCTAAAATTCATACATTGAAGCCCTACCCAGTACATCAGAATATGGCCATATTTGAAGAGAGGACCTTTTAAGAGGTAATTAAGTTAAAATGAAGCCCTTAGGGTAAGCCCTAATCCAAAATGACTGGTGTCCTTATAAGATGAAAACACTAGGACACAGAGAAGCAGGCCACGGTACAGCAGGCACACAGAGAAAAGGCCATGTGAAGACACACAGACAGAGAAGCGGCCATCCACAAGCCAAGAAGAAAAGCCTCAGGAGAAAACAACCCTAAAGACACCTTGATCTTGATTTCTAGCCTCCAGAGCTGTGAACAAATAAAGTTCTACAGTTTAAACCACCCTGTCTGTGGTATTCCATTATGCTAGCACTACAATTGAATACAGGTTTTTGTTTTTGTTTCTTGACACTACTTTAATCCAGCAAATTTTACTACATGCCTGCTAGGTGAGAAGCAGATTTCTAGGAGTAGGTGTACAAAATGACAGAACCAGTCCTTGCCCAGATCCTGCTCCTATTTAGGGGAAAACACCAAGACCACCAAACTCAGATGATGATAAACACTATGATAGAAGTAAAACCAAATGCTGTAAAAGCCAGAGGAAAATGAAATCATTCTTCCTGGGAAGTGGGAGAGACAAGTGATAAGAGAGAGCTTCGATGTGGATTCTGACAGGCACAGAAAGAGGAAGTATCTCAAATGATACAAAAACACAGGCAAAAGCCCAAAGACACCAAAAAACCTAATGCCCAGGTTCATGCAGAGACCAGTGAGACATCTGGCAAAGCAGGGAGGGGATGCAGAGGTCCCAGGGTAGAGAGAACTGTGTGATAGAACAGGTGAAACTGAGGACATTAGTGCCTTTGAAAGGTCAGGCAAGAAAGTTTGGACTGCAATTTTTAGAAAGTGAAGATTAATGAAAAAAAAAAGGAAGGTAGACTAAGAGGCAAGAGAGTACACTGTAGAAAATAATAAAACTCACTTTCTAACTGCCTAAGAACTGACTCTTGAAGATAAACACTTCCCACTGTCATTAGCTACTTTCAGAATAACTCCAAGCACTTTATTATCTCATACCCTATTAACTTGGATGGAAGGAAGAGGTTGCCATCTGCCCTGATTTCCAAGCTGGGAACTATAGTGTGTGACAGTTGTGGGTTAGCAGCATGACCCAGGGAGTCAAAAAGGCAACTGAATCCTAAGATCCAAGTTCCACAGAACAAAGCCAGAAGCTCCATCCTTTTCACCGTGGTGCCACCAGCTTGGCCGAGGGCAGACGGTGTCTTTTGTCAGAGCATGGGTCTACTCAGCAGCCTTTCACACTCCCTCCACCCTCATCCAACATGACCTTGGATTTCAGTCATGCAGAGCAAGCAAAGCCACAGCTTAGATTAACATGAAGGGAACGAAATTACTCCTTGGCTTTTGAGAACCCCAAGAGCTCAGGATCTGGTGATTTCCTGGGAAATTAAGGGACTTTCAAGAGAAATTCTAACTTTAATTTATCTCTGCCTTACACATCAACTTGAGACTCCAACCCCTGCATGAGATGGGCTCTCGTATATTCCTGAAGCAACTGCTCATGATGTATGCTGACAAACTAATGAAGTCTCGTAACTGAAACAGAAAATAAAGCACACATCACAGACAACTTAACAATGACAAAGAAGATCATTCCGATGACTGAGAAGACAGATTATACTTTTTCTTTAGTCCTCCCTTAATTTATGAGTCTCCGCTGAAACAACTTGCTAATGAAGTTGGGCAATAATACAAAATAATATTAAATGTAAATTATAATTTACAAATTGAAATTTATCTTTCAATTAAAGATAAAATTTTAAAAATGAAAATGTTAAACTATTAAAAAAACTAATAAAGTTGGGCAAGAAGTAGTAATAGTCAGGTTCTTACTGTGCCAAAAAAAAAAAAAACACCGAACTGGTCCTGTACCACCCTTCAATCCTCTCAATAATTTACTCTCTTCCCATCTTCTTCCCTAAGGTCTCTCCTTGGATGTTTAGAATTTGGGGCTTGGAAGAAATAAAAATTAACAAACTGGCAGAGTAAACAGCCTGGTCCTGATAAGAAGCTAATCCTGGAAACATACTGCTTCATTGGGCCTGTCTCTACAAAATGGGCCAATTAAGTAGAAGAGCAAGTTCCCATAATTAAAAAGATTCACACGTTAACATGAGCATGTACAGAGTAATCCACTGAGCTCAAAGTAGGCTTATACATTTACACCCTTGCCACAGCCTTATTATGGGCAAAATATACTCCTTTCCCTCTTGACTTTCAGTTCAGCCAAGTGATTTGCTATGGGATGCTAACAGGCATGATAGAAGCAGAAGCTTGAAATGTGCTTGCATGAGGCCTGTCCACTTGTACCATAGCCCAGACCATGAGAAGAGCATGCTCCAGACAACTAGCTGGTTAGAGGATGAAAGTCCTGTGCAGCCAAACTGGAACCCACCCACAGCCTGGATCCCAACCTAGCCAAATCTACTTGACCAGCTCCCCTCAGCCAATCTGCACAAGCATAAAAAAATAAATGTTTTAAGCCACTGGGTTGGAGTCGGTTCTATGCAGCAGTATTGGAACAATAGCTGACTAAAGGGTCAGATGGCAGAAATATGGAAAAGGATTACACAAACCACACAGATACAAACTCATCCAGTAACAGTCTCTTTCCCCAACAACTTCCAAAGAATGTTTTCAAAAGCATTTGAGTAGCCGTCTTAGTCACCTCAGCCCTCAGGCACTGCCTTCCAGTGAGAGATGGAGAAAGCCTTTATCAAACATGAGCAGAAAAAAGCTACAGAGTGAAAGTACTAACACCAGCAGAGAAATCTAAAATGGGCTTGCAAGGTCAAAAGAAAGGAATAACTTGAAATATCAATAGCCTTTCTCATAACCTTTGTCACCTAGCACATATCACATTTCTATGTTTCTCATCTGAAAATATAACAAAATAAAAATAATAAGGTTTATGAAAAATAGAATTGGAATAGAAGAATTCTAGCTTCAGGGCCCAGAATTACCGTATGAAAAAAGAAGTAGAGGGGTTTACCACAGTGGTGCTCAGTGTGCACGTCTCTGCAAAAATGTTACAGCACCCCTGCTGCAATGACAAGGAGAGGCACGGAGCAGAGGAGGCGAGGCTGAAGTCCCTCAGCTCACTGCTGCGGTGCCTCCTGTGCTAACTGGTGCTATATACACTAATGACTTTTCAAATAGCTATTTGAGTTCTCTTTTCCTTAAAAGGAGCAGATTTAAGCCCTCTCTCTTTGACAAATTTACTCAGGAAAGTGTACATTGTGCCATGAAAGGTCAAATACCTTGGCTTCAAAAGCCTGGGGCTGCAGCACCACTTGGTACAGCTGATACAACTTAAAAAAATGAAAAAGTCACTCTGGTGGGACTTATTCCACACTCGACTATCCTAAAATGCAAGTCAGGTCTTTGTTCAGTTTCCTGCACAAAAATCTCTAAACAAAGGTAATGCTGAGGACATACCACAAAATAATATATTATTATTATAATCAGGAGGAGAGAAAAGAAAGTCTAGGGCCCACACAATCCACAGTACAACCACTGACTTCATGAGCAGTCTTTTTAACCCTCAGAGCAGACTGAGCTACCAAAATGGGAAAAGCAGCATAATTGGTTGTAACAAAATAGACAGGGAGATGTTAAGACTAGCATAGGAAAGGGAGAAGCCAAAGAACTTACATGCACAATCCATGGACATGAACTAAGCAGGGGGGAGGGGCGTGCAGGGAGACATTGCTGGAGGGGAGGGGAGCAAAGGGAAAAAAATTGGGACAACTATAACAGCATGATCAATAAAATATACTTTTAAAAAATAGAACTTTACATAACATGATGCTGACCACACTCTCCAAGAGAGTTGGCAGAAGCAGAACAGAAGAGCTAAGCCAAGCCTTCAACAGTTTAACTCCATAAATGGTAACTGGGTGCCCCATTTTCATGTGAAGGGGATCTGGCGTAGGGTTTCTACTCAAGTTAGAGATGCAGCTAAATCTCATCTACCAGGCTTGTCAATATTAGAGGGGGATTTTAATCCTTTTACCCCGACAAACCTCAAAGACAAGCCTAGTATTCAACAGCCTGTGGATCACAGTCTCTCACGCATCAAGTCAGACAGACTCTATCAAAGTAGAAAACTAAATTCTGAATCTCAAACCTGGTGCTGCTGTCCCTCAACAGATGACACAAGTTTCTGATCAACTCAGCAACAAGTGGGAACACAAAGAAACATGTATCTTGAAGCACAGAGTAGGATAAGATGTGTCCTTTCACAACAAGCCTGCCCAAAATGCAGACCATCAGTGCCTAGCCCTTGACATAGAGAAAAAATTCCAAAAAGAAATTACTAGTTTAGAAATATCTAGAACCTAGTCATGCTATGCACACATAGTCTACAATATTGCCATGGGAAGTATTTTTTTTTCATTTAACATATCACTTTATACTGAGTTTAACAAAAGCAGAAAGACAAAATAGATTCCCTTGAATATTAAATGGAATTTAATATGTGCTGAGTCAAAAATGGAAAAATTCCCAAGTGATAGCAAACCCCTAGGTATCAACACCACCTCTGCATGTTAAAACACACACAGCTTTAATATCTAAGAGCTCCCTTTCCCATTTCTTAAAAATCAAACCAGAACCCGAGTACCCCAAGAGTCCTAATCAATTCCATGATCTCACCTTAAAGCAAGGCACACAATAGCCATATTTGAAGGAAAAAGAAAAATGTTTACCTATTTAAACAAGTAAAATAAAATTAAGACAACCTTTTTGTAATCCTTACTTTCAAAATATTTTGGGTTTCATTCCATTTATTTGTCCATTCTTTGGTCAATTCTTGAACCTAAAAGGAAAAGACACATTTGTGATTGCTCAATAAAAAAATTATTGTTATTTTCTTCTAGGGAGTTTCTAAATCTTACAGCTTTACGAAATGATATAGTATAATTTTTTAAATAGCAATCTATGTCTGAAAGAACCATCACCAAAATAAATCAAACAGCTGATCTCATCCTACCTCCTGTATCACGGCAAAGGCAAGAACAAAAAAAAAAAAAATGTGTCAAGTTGCCTAGATTTTTGCATCTTTTTCATGGTGTACTTAAATAAAAGCTGGTCCTTTGGATACTAACCAAAACTACAAGTTCAAGAATAACAATGTCCTGTTAAGTGCATTAATTTTTCCTGATTATACTATAGCTCCTAAAAAATAATGGTTTATTTTTCTTTCTCATTACATGTGTAATTAAATCACCTGGAATGCTGCAATTTTCTTTTAGGAGATAATCTGCTTTTGTAGCTAATTAATAGGGTTTATAAATCTCATTCTATCTTTAAAAGGTGGGGGGACTCTTGAATTGACTCCCTTAGTAAAAGCAAAATCTTTTGATACAAACTGGCTTCTTTCCAGTCCGCTGAACTTAGGGGAGAAAATATCCCCAGTGTTGAACATAGTACAACTGGAAGTTATATCTCAAAGTTAATAAAAATATTTTGCTACTTCCATAAAACTTTTAAAATAATCCTAGTGAGTAATTCATTAAAAAGCAAAAAGTGATTCCTTAGAAGAAGTAGAAAAAATGAATGAACACTTGTCTACAAAAAATAGTATACCTATGGCTAAAAGAGAGACTTTCGAGAGGCAGAGTGGGGGAGCACATGCTCCCCAAGCCTTTTCCCCTCTTTACACTAGCTCTCCCACCACCTCCCCACCCCCAGGAGCGGACACTGCCCCGTGGACACTGATTGGTCTTCCCTCTGATAAGCTATCTTATTGAATCAGGACAAACGAATACCTGGAATACATGTGTTTGTACTCTCACTGCTAAGAGGAAGATACTTTCCCCACACTTAGTATTAAGTATAGTAAGGGGAAAGGGCACACCTATCTGCAACCTTCCTGAAAGTGTTTGTAACTGACAAGAAATGGAGGAACTGGACTGACCATTTATCCCAGAAGAAAACCGAAACATCTCTCTCACTTAAACTGAATTGGTCATTTCCTTTTACTCCTCCGTTTTCCTCTAATAGGGCTGTACAACTTCTAAATTAAAACAATGCCTCTTTTTTTTACAAGTAATGTCAAAAATCTCTCATCCTCTCGATTAAAAAAAAAAAAAAACACACACACCACCACCATGGCTGAGCCTCTCTAACTTTGTTTTTGCTTGTTTTTAATGGTTTGGTAAGACTAGCCTGATCGACCTGGAACCAGTCATACACTCCAATCTTCCAGCTCTTAAGTGAGACCAACCCCGTGGATGGTAAAAACAGCAGTACATGCCACATGGCTCTCCAGACTTTTACTTTGGAAAAGCTTTCAAAGGGGAAATATTCTTATACCTTCTCTTCCTACAAAAGGGGAGGAACTGGTGTGTTGAATTTACTAATATATAGTAATCAGTTAACAGATTCTCACCAGCAATTTATGTGAGAAACACAAAGTATTCAACAATAAATGTTTCTGTGTTCACTAACATATACATTCTCCCTGAAGAAATATAAGCTAATCAGTCCTTTTCCAATTCAATCAAATAAGTCTAGCTTTAACCAAATTGTAATTATGCCTTGGGTTTATTTTACTATTCAATTTAAAGTAAATAACCTTAATTTATAAAATCAATAAAAATGCAAACATTTGATATCTCCACTAACAATGTGATCAGATACTAAAGATTTATAGCCAACAAATGGTAAATGATTTTCAAAGGTCAGCAAAACATAGGTGAAAATTCATAAAATGTTATGAACAAGACAGGCAGTCATTTCTGTCACAGCATGTACCATGAATTCAAATTAAAATGCTTATTGACTTCTATTAACTTGCTAGGTATTCCTGAAAACTATTATTAAGAAATAATTTAAGACTATATCTAGACATCTCAAAGCACTCAAAATTAGAATCTGAAGTACTAAATATAAATTTCATGAGAAAAATAGGAATTAAGAAAATAATGATTTTACTAATGCAATTAGCACCAAATTATCCAACATAATTATCCAGGGAAGTGTCAACAAGTTCCTAACAACAACTCAATTTATATTCGCAATATCGTGTATGCTCAAAAGGGCTTCACCAATAAAATCCAGTTTTTTTTTTCCAGTCTGTTTTAACCATTCAGCACAGTGAACAACATCATACCCCAAAAATATTCTCAATGCCCACTGCTCTTTTCAAACAGGATTACTTAAAAAAAAAAATACTGTAAAGCCAGGTCAGCCATGAAGCTGGTTTTCAAAAAGCACCAGCACACAAACACTGGCTTCAGCCCACAACATCTCCAGGGACAGACTCACTGCCACTCCTCTCCTGGCCTCAAATCTCATCTACCTGAAGATAAACCAGGCATCTACCAAGTGTATTCCACAATTCTCCAAGTGCTGCACTCCCTCCAGAGAGCAAAATAAAAGAATGACAAAAAACTAAATGTTGAGCATGCTTAGCTATGGTTAAGCTCTGGGGACCACTCCAGTTTCAGGAATGTGGAACACCGCTGCTTTCAACCCGGGACTCCTGTCTACTCTGAAGCCAGAGAGGCCTGTTTCGTCAGTGAGGGCTGCCTGTGGATTTCAACTGCACTCAATCGTCATGTGCCAGACAGGCCCCATTTATTCAGTCATAGATTGTGATATGATACATAAGTCAATTATTGTGGTTCTTTAAAAATTATCAGAGGTGGGGGGGGAGGGACTGTTAAGTGTAATGAAGAAAGAAAATGAGTTTCAAATGGCAAGAACTAAAAAGCATATATTTAAAATAATAGTGAAAGTTATGATTTTAAAAACAAGGAATCAAGCTATCACTTACTCTTGCTTCATTCTGCTGAAGTTTTTCCTCCATACTTAAGGCTGTGGGGGAGTCTAAAAGGGCGATCTATAATTTAAATCATAAGAGAGAAGCAATTAGTAAACAGCAATAATCTAGAGGAAGGATTGCTCCATGATACAGTAAATGACCAAAAACTGCCAAGTAAACTATTAAATACAGGTAAAAAGTATTGTTTCACACCCCTAAAAAGTGTCAATCACTCCACTAAGTCTTTACTACATATCTCATAATATTCAAAACCAAATGTAAGTAGGCTGGTAAACCTACATTTGCAATACAACCCAACAAAGTGAGAAAAAGATACATGTAATACAATTGACATTTGTTTTACCAAAATCTAGCATGATCTACATACCTAGATCCTAAAAGACTAGTCCATTTTTAATATGCACAAACTGCAAAATTCAAAATATAAAAAGCTTAAGTCTTGTTCAACCACATGCTTCTGAAATCCATCCATGCTGACACATGCAAAGAAAACTCATTTATTTGCATTGCTGGATGATAGTCTATCTGTGGTATGGCTACACCACAATCTATTTATCCATTTCCTTATCCATGTTACAAAGGTATAATGATTGACATAAGAACGATAAACACCAAAATCAGGTTAGAACTGGAAGGGACAAACAGAGACAAGAGAGGGAGTGGAGCCAGGCAGGGAGCAGAGGGGCTTTGACTGACAGGCAGGACACTGCTCTTTCTGATTCCATAAGAAAAACAAAAGGGAGTCTTGCTCCCTCCCATCCCACAGGCAACCTCCTTTCTCCAATTTGTTATGTAAACTTGCAATTATTCTCATCATATACAAGCATGTTTTTGTTGTTTTTTTTAAACAAAAACAACATGAACACTATTCTAAATATTGCCTTTTCACTAAACAACATATCTTGGGAGAAATTCAGTACAAATAAAACTGCTTCATTCTTTTGAAAATTCCAATTCCACTGTAGAGTGGAATTGTATGGATATTCTCTAATTTATATCAGTGCTTTCCTTTCAATGGAAATGCAGCTTTTTCTAATCTTCTCTACCAGCAATGCTACAATGACTATTCCTATACTAGTTGCCTACAGTATCACAGTTGTGTCAACAGAATAATTTCCTAGGAGGAAATTTGTGAATCATGTATATTTTTTTAATAGCTAAGTCGCCCTCCCCAGAGGCTAAGCATGTTTTTCATTACTATTTACTTCTCAATTTCTATTCAAACAAATATAATACCCATGAGGTGGTCTTACTAGGCTCAGTTAAACTTCCAGACTAACAAGACTACAGGGCCCACACTTGGCATCTGTCTGTTCAGCAAAAAGCAGAGCTACAGCAGGGAAGGACCATGTGTTCTCCGCAGCAGTCCTCACAGCTCTCCAAGAGTATTCCCTCTGGCCCTCTTCAGGGGTAGAGATTCACACAGGCATTTGTGGGGCCCACCTTGACTTAGAGTCCCATGCCCATGGGAACCAACATCTCTTATAATAATGTCACAGGCACATCCTTCAGAGTCCCCACAAGGACACACCTATTACAAGATTCACTGCACTCAGGGAAACACAAAACTATGGCTTCACAGCAGCACATTTATAGCTTATACAGAATTCATCCTAATCCAGATGCAATTCACCAATTAGAAGGTATTTTTATCATTAGAAATATTGCTTGGTTATACAGCTGACATCTGACTGTTATCCAGTTTATAGAGAATAAAACCAGCAAGTTAGCTCATGATCAAATTCATCCTTAGTAGAAGAAAAGGAGCTTTACTAACATATTAATTCAATACATCACTGCACCTAGAATGTCATCATGTACACACAGATGTTACTCAATATTTTTCACTGAAGAAATGCAAGTGGTAGGTGTTATAATGACCATATCATTATATATGATTGCAATTTTCAAAACAATCAGCAACTCCCTTTATGACATGGTTGATTTTAAAGACTCCACTGTTAGAACTTTTCATCTGTAATCAAAGGTGAAACATTCCTAATACATTATCAGCTCAGTGGACAATAATTGATTAAATACACTCATGTGCATGCAGGCTATCATGACCACAATAATTTTTGGAAAATTACTTTAAAGCACACATAAAGAAAGATCTATCTAAGTCCTTTTAAAAGAAAACTTTGGTAAAACTAGAACATTTACAATTAAGTTACTCTTTGCAAGGTGTCTTTTTAGAGAAAAATGTTCAGGATTAATTAATCCTCCAAGTTTATGTGTTAGACCAAGAGGAATATTACATCAAAACTTCAGTAATATCAACTGCACTAACAACATGTACGAGCAATCCTGGCTCCAACCCTTGCCAATATAATGTGCAATCAAATGCTTTGATTTTTGCCCACATGAGGTGAAAAGGACATCTCATTGATTTTTATGAACAATGAAGTATAATTTGCATACAGTAAAGCATACAGCTTGATAACTATGTATCGATGTATCCATAGAAATATACATATTCATTTTACTAGTCTTAAAATTTGCATTTGCTATCATTCAAATGACATTAAGCATACTTTCCTATGTTTAGAGGCCATGTGAAATGTTTTTCTATGAATTATACTCACATTCTCGGCTCACTTTTCTGTCAGGTCGTAATATTTTTCTTATTTTTAATAGCATTTCTCAAAATAAGAAACGTAGCCTTTACATGAGTTGGCAATCTTTTCCCTGGTTTGTATAAGAAACGTAGCCTTTACATGAGTTGGCAATCTTTTCCCTGGTTTGTATTGATTTTCATTATGTAATCATTATGTTTTCACTTATTTTTGTCTACATGAGCTCTCATAAAATGAGAAAGAGGAATTCAAGTTCCCTGTGAAAAATGTGTATACAGTTCATCTCCTGCTATTTCCTGAAGTTTTTTTAGTTTGTTTTCATTATTTTTAATTTCATTTTTCAATTATAGTTTTGTATTCGATATTGTTTTGTATTAGTTTTAGGTATACAGCATAATAGTTAGACAATCATATAATTTACAAAGTGATCCCCCCTGATACTTCTAGTGCTCACTTGGCACCGTACACAGTTATTGCAATATTATTGACTATATTCCCTAGGCTCTACTTCACATCCCTGTGACTGTTCTGTAACTACCAATTTGTAGCTCTTAACCCCATCACCTTTTTCATCCACCCTTCCTAAACCCCTCTTCTCTGGTAACCTTCAGTTTGTTCTCTATACCTATAAGTCTGTTTCTGTTTCGATTGTTTATCTTGCTCTTTACTTTCCACATGAAAGTGAAATCATATGGTATTTTTCTTTCTCTGACTTATTTCACTTAGAGTAATACCCTAAAGGTCCATCCATACTGTCACAAATGGTAAACATTCATTCTTTTTTATGGCCATGCAATATTCCATTGTATACATGGAGCACAACTTTTTTATCCCACTCATCTATTGCGTTGCTTCCATAGAAATAACTCTGTAATAAACATAGGGGTGCATGTATTCTTTGGAATTAGTGTTTCTGGTTTCCTTATATATATACCCAGAAGTGGAACTGCTGGCTCATAAGGCAGTACCATTTTAATTCTTTGAAGAACCTCCATTCTATTTTCCATAGTAGCTAAACCAGTCTGCATTCCCACCAACACTTATTGTTGCCAACACTTGTTTGTTGATTTATTGATGATAACCATTCTGACAGGTGTGAGGTGGTATCTCATTGAGGCAATTTTTCAGATTAAAAAATCTGAATTTCTCAGATAATTAGTGACTTTGAGCATTTTTATATGTCTCCTGGCCATTTACACGTCTTCTTTGGAGAAACATATAGTTCCTGCAGCTCTGTTGTTCTCTTTCCTTTATGAAAGTTGACATCATATTTGATTTTTATTAGGAATTGCATTCTTTGTTGTGATAAAGTGCTTATTTTAGGCTCAAATAATGCTGTTTTTGCACTGCTTTCTTTCCCTTTGAATTAGCAGGCAGACTTTTGCCTATCCTTACAAACATCATATAACTGAGCTTTCTTGTGTGACCCTCTCTAAGAATTGTCTAGTTGTCTATCTTAAAAGTTTACACATAGTGATATTTCTATTATCTATCTATTATTTAAAGTTTATCTGTGACTCAAGCTACAAAAATGAGGAATTCATCCTGCTTCCATGCTCTCTTTGTGTTCTTCACTTCCTGACTATTGTTGCTCATTTCCTTTCGATATTGTTTAATTTTCTTATTACCTCCAGATATATTCAATAGAAAAGAGTAAAGAGACATTTTCTCTCTGCCAAATTCAAAGAAGTCTGAAAAAAATGCTTTAAATATACTAAAAGAGAACACCTGAAAAGACTAAATATCCAGCCCTGTCAGGTGTGACTCAGCTGATTAGTGCATCATCCTGCAGACAGAAAGGTTTCCGGTTCAATTCTCAGTCAGGGCATGTACCCAGGTTGCAGGTTCAATCCGTGGCTAGGGCACATGCAAGAGGCAACCAACTGATGTCCATTTGTCTGTCTCTCTCTTTCTAGAAGCAATGAAAGAATGTCCTCAGGTGAGGATTAAAAAAAAAAGACATGATATCCCAATGCTCAATTTCATTAATCATCTGAGAAGTACAAACTAAATCATTCAGTGATATCACTATTCATCCATCAGAATAGTTACAGTGACAAGTGGGCAATGTCAAGTGTTGACAAAGACCTACAGGGACTACAACTGGCCCTTTCATATATTGATGGTGGAGGATAAATTGGTATAACCACTTTTAAAAATTTCTTGGCAATATCTATTGAAACTGGACATAGGTACACCTTCTAACCCACCAATCCCACTCTTAGGTATAAACCTAACAGAAATGCATCTGCAAGTTCACTAAAACAGAAAAGAAAGTCCACAACAGCACTAATAGCACCAGAAAAGAAACTCCCAAATGCCCATCAAAAAAAGAACAAATGAGTTGGGACACAATATAGAGATGAAAATAAACAGGTTTACAATTAAATGCACCAACACAGATGAATCTCACAAATATAGCATTGAGTGAAACAAGTGAAGTCAAAAGAGTATATACTACATGATTCTATTTACATAAAGAACAAAAATAGGCAAAATTAAAAACTAACCTATGCCTTTAGAAGTCAGAATAGTGGTTATCCTTAAGGAGAAAGGTGGGTAGTACCTAGAAAGGAACATCTTGGGGGACTTCTAGGGTTCTGATAATGTTCTGTTTTCAGATGTGAGTGTAGGTGAGATGGGTGAATTCATCTTGTGAAAATTCACTGATTTGTAAACGTATGTAATTTTTGTACATATGTAATATTTCAGTAGAATTCATAAATATATAAACAATTACAAATATCTATATATCTATATCAGTATAGGAGAAGCAAATCCAATACATGTCAAACTATTTTGTTTTACTTAAATTGTGCTTTTGAAACTCTATGCCCAAGATATTTTGCATTGGCAAATTAATAAGATTATTAAAAGTAGGAGCTGATTTTATTTAGTTGTACCAGAATAACTACAGAAATAGAACTTTGGTTTGAGTAACATTCTCAGTGAATCATGGCAGCATTTGGAATAAAAGATTGTGCGAATAGATCAATGTCATCAAACCAATTTAAACAGAAGTTTTTAATGGGCACTTAAGAACACCTGCTTCTTTTATTGAACACCACAAATTTAATTAATTGAGAATAAGCCTGTATTCTCTCACAATTTATAGTTTCATAATGTAATAAATTATTTTAAGTTGGACTCCAATTTTTATTGTAATGTATTAAATTCATCAAAGAATTTTTATCTTCAATGTGTTCTAAAATAGACTTAACTATCTTTTCCATCCTCAACCCAAAAACTACAGCAACAGAAATACTCCTTTAAATACAATAGTAGTCTTTGGTTATGAAAAAAACAAAATAAAAGACCACAAAGTATAAGGTAACTGGCATGCACAATACCTCAGAAGACATTCCTGGATAGAATTTGTAACAGTTTCAGTAAATAAGAGGTTTTTTTGTCCATGTGATAAGGCTCCTTTCAAAAATTTCCTCAGTTTAATTTTAAAAGCTGATCTTTATTTTCCTTCATTCTCTTAACTTAGTAAAACATTAAATAAAGAAGATGGAGAAGAATTTTCCAAATACTTTCCTTCACATATAGCAATTTGGGTGATGCCATAAAATCATGCATACATATTTACTTCAGATTAATAATGTTTTAAAAAACACTGAAAGACAGATTTCAATAGCAAAGTGTATCAATAAAAATGACTATTGGATTTCATGTCATAAGTTACATAAGCCTGATAGCATCACACAGAGCTAAAGTATTCATTCTGACAACTTCCTTTCACACACAGTAAAGCTCCACATCAAAAAGTAAAATGGAGCCCTGGCCAGGTGGCTTAGTTGGTTGGAGCATCATCCCATACATCAAAAGGTTGTGGGTTCCATCCCTGGTCAAGGCACATACCTAAGCTACAGGTTCAGTCCTCACTTGGGACACATACAGAAGGCAATTGATCAATGTCTGTCTCTTTCTCTCTCTCTCCCCGCCACATCTTGTCATTCTCCCTTTCTCCCTCCCTCCCTCCTCTCTTCTCTCTCTAAAATCAACAAGCATGTCCTCAGATGAGGATAAAAATTTTTTTTAAGTAAAGTGGATGTGGACATATTCTTAAGTGCAATGAGCAATTCCTATGCAACTACTGTCCACCATCTTATGAGAAAGAACTGTCAATTGTATTTCAAGACACAGGACACTCAGTGAGATTTTCCTGTCAATACTTTCCTAGGTTGAACCACTCATGGGATGTCAAGGGCTTCATGGGCCATATATTCCTAAACAGAAAGCAACTCCAGAGAGACAGAGCACTTTGCATTCAAAGAAAACTGATTTTTTAATGATACAATTAAGATATCTATTCATAGGTTAAGAAAATGGAAAGAAATGTATCTGTGTTTGTTTCTAACTATGATCTAACTCAAACACTTTCAAAAGCTATCTTTGATTTTCTTCTAAGAGTGACCTTTCATTACAAGAGTATCTAAGCCTATAAGAAGCTACCTTGCACTATTCATCAAGAATGTAACTCTGTATGTATGTGAAGCAGGTGATAAGGAAGTTTACTGTGAAAAACACAAAGGACCAGGCTTCTTCACTAGAATCCTAACTGAAGTGAGGGTGTTTCAACAATCAACCAAGGCCCCAGGAATATCATCTCAAACAGACCACAAGTATGTCACACATGTCATTCTATTACCATAACCACTACCTCTGTAGTAGGCGACACAAAATAAAAGCTCAGCCCCAGCAGGTGTGGATCAATGGATGGAGTGCCAGCCTGCAAACAAAATGGTCACTGGTTTCCCAGTCAGGGCACATGCCTGGATTGCTGACCAGATCCCCATTAGGGGGCACGTGAGAGGCAACCACACATTGATGTCTCCCTCTCTCCCTCCTTTCCCCTCTTTAAAAATAAATAAATAAAATATTTTTAAAAATACAAATAAAATTAAAAGCTCAGAAAGGTATTCAAAGTAGTCTTTCCTGCTGTTAAAACACATTTTCAAATCATAACATGCACAAATAAAATTTTAAATATAACTCCAACCATCTAAATTTCCTTCTGCTAATGGAGATTATGCTGCTAATCCTATTGCATGCTAAATCTCCATCCATAATTGATAACTATTAGATAGTTAATCATTTCAAATTTAGTGGATAAAATCTTACACATGGAGCACATAATAAATGTACAGGCCAATAAGAGGGTGATGTAGAAGAGACCAGCCAACTCATTCAAGCTTTACTTAGCACTTATTGACTCAAATCAATACAATAAGTGAGATAATTGTCTCATTAAGGTCTAGAAATAGATGCCATTACTACTCAAAGAAAGTATCCATAAACCTCAGAAAAACCCAACCTGATTCCCTTGAGCAAGCAGCGTTTTCAGTCTGGCTATTTCAGCTCGAAGCTCACGGATGAGTTTCACGTTGGCGTCCTCATTAATGGTAGGCTTGTTGATGATATTTTTGGCTCTATTTGCATAGCGAAGAGTACTTAGGGTTTCTCCATAATTGACATCAGCAGGTGAAATGGCTGTGAAGAATGAATTCAAAAAATAATTTATCCAACACTCCGTGTTTCATTTAACACAAAGTTGGTTTGCAATTTAAAAGTCAGATCAACCCCAGGTCATTGGACAGACTAAATATTCATCGCCACAGTAAGGAATGTTAAAAATTATCTAAAAGTTATAGTAAAGGTGCTCACTATACTAAATTAAATGCCATTTTGCCCATCTTAAGTGTAGATGCAGCCATCTAAACAACTCTAAAATAAGATATGAGATACTCACTGTAGTTTAGAGAGCCTTCCCTGTTAAAATACAGGAGGAAAAGGAATTCAAGACTACAGTAGTCCCCCTCATCCATGGGTTGGGGGGGGGGGCGGGGATGTTCAAGCCCCACAGCAGATGCCTGAAAGCAGTGAGAGTTTCAAACCCCAATCAATTCCTTCAACTCTGTTGGAGACATGGCAGCAGCTTCATCATAGGCAGACACAGGCTCTTCAGTCATTGTTATAGATTTTAGTTCAAACCTGTTCCTGAACCTGTGTAACCATCCCTTACTTGAAGTAAATAGCTGGTGTCACTCGTTTAAGGGGACAGTTTGCTGAAGTCTGTATATAGGCTCAGTGCTTTCTGGTGTGACACGTTCCCATCCATTGAAACACATTTTCTGTTTGTGTCTTCCAGCCACAACTGTAATTCTTTTTCCATCTTAACTACGTACTTATCACACACATGGGCCGTAACTTTTGTAATTTGAGTGCAAAAGCAAAAGTAGCATGGATTTCTTTTTTCCTTCTTCATAATTTCATGAACACAAGGAATATCCATTCTTATGAGATTAGATATTAGCAACCTCAGCATACAATTTATTTTTCTTGTTGAGAACTTTCACCTTTTCACTTAAAAGAAGTACTTTATGAAGTCTACCTGGTATGCCCAAATTACCAGCCTCTATACACTTGCATTTTGGGCCATCATTAAGTAAAATAAGGGTTACTTGGACACAAGCACTGTGATATCAGGACAGTTGATCTGGTAAACCAGGTGGCTACTAAGTGACTAGCAGGCAGGAAGCATGTGCAGTGTGGAGCTGCTGGACGAAGGCATGATTCACATTTTGGGGGAGACTGAGTGGGATGGTGTTAGATTTCATCCCACTACTCAGAACAGTGTGCAATTTAAAACTTAAGAATTATTTATTTCTGGAGCTTTTCACTTAATATATTCAGACCAAAGTTGACCACAAGTAACTGAAAACGCAGAGAGCAAAACTATGGATTACGAGGGACTACTATATTTATACTTCTCAATATTAAATAGAAATTAAAATTTTTTAAAAGTTCTGGAAAAATCCAGAGCATGAAAATTTTGAGAAGAGTCAGTATACCAGTTAATTGTTTTCCTCATAAAGCTGTGGTTCATTACGTCTCCACCATCACCACAAACTTTAGGACTTACTTAAGTGGCTCCCCAATTGCATATGTGGTACACAGCCCAGGATAGACCCCTCGCCGAGTTAATACGGGGTATGGAGACAGGGGAAGGGAAAAGGAGAGTGGGGGAAGAAAAGTGGAGTTAGGAGGGAAACAGTTTTTGATTTCTCCTCAAATACTTATCTTCTCTTTGTACATTTTTCTCTATTCTCCTTCTTTCAGTTAATTAGTGAAGACATAGAAGTATATTACTGTTACTATTTGTTATATTTATTGGGTCTTTTCCCTCTCAATTCTTAATATTAAATTCCACATTCATTGTTTTATAATAAAATAAAGAGTTGGGTTATTTTTACTTTATGTTCCTACAATGATTTTTATCCTATGAATCAGTGGAGTTAAAAGTGTCTACCTCACACTTTAAGCAGAATTATACATTCTGCATGAATCCCAGCTTGTATAACCATGAACATGGCAAATTTATAGACCTAGTTAAGAGGAAAAAAGGGTAATATGATACTGTGGACTAGAATAGTCAGTGGTTTTCTTCATGATAAAAAACATGTTATTTTTTTAACATAAAAAGATCCTATTTCCTGCTCTGGCTGGTGTGGCTCAGTGGACTGAGCACCGGCCTGCAAACCAGTCAGGGTACATGCCTGGGTTGCAGGCCAGGAACCCTGTTGGGGGTGTTTGAGAGACAACCAATCAATATATCTCTTGAACACTGATGTTTCTTTCCCTCTGTTTCTCCCTTCCTTCCCCTCTCTTTAAACACAAATAAATAAAACCTTTTTTAAAAAGATGCTATTTCCTAATAAGACTCTTTAAACTTAAATGTTTGCAATTAATTCACATGAAACACATGTTGAAGAAAAGAACTTAAAATTCTTACTGGCAATCATGATAGTTTTAGAGTTTCCTCCAAGGCTATCTTTCAACAACCAAGTCAAAACAGAATCCCTGTAAGGCACAAAAACTTGCTTCTTCTTTACAAAAGGGTTCGCTGCATCCTGAGATAAATCAGCTGCAGAGAAGAAAAAAAGACAATTATTAAAGTTCTTTTCCTCTAATTTGACTTCAGAAAACCTCGAGGATATAACCTCAGTCTATAACACAAACATAACTGCTTTGTGCTATTATAGACCACAAAGGACCACAGGACCAAAGAATAAGAGGAGACAGGAGACAAATATAAACCTACCTAAGGCAGAAATGACATTTCCCAGAGTCACGAGGGATTTGTTAATATTGCCCCCTTCCTTTAGTCTAACCCCGGTGGCACCAGTGGCATCGGCACGCTCACTTCCAGCAAGATCGACTAAGTGGATCTTACTCACGGTTTCACATGGCATTTCAGAATCAAATTTTGCCTATAGCAAAACATAAAAGGAAAATTGAAGAGCTATACACAGCTCTGATATTGTTTATGATATAAATTCTAATTATTTTGCACTCCTCATTATGATCTCTCAGCATGGGATTTTTTTTTTTAATTTGGTTGTTTCATTGGCCTTCTCGCTGATTATAAAAATTCCTAAAATTAAACTGAATACATATGTGGTTCTTAAATTTTATGAAGAACTATTTCATTATTCAAATCATTCAGTGTTTCTCAACAAAGGCTCACTGAGTCTGGCTGTAGCAGAACAGAAACCTAGGCACTGAGGGGCACTCAACAAACAAAAATATAAGGAAACAAGTAATTAGTTTTGTCTTCATCTAGAATCTTCAGCATTCCAAGCACAATGGCTCCCCCAAAAATGATAAATGTAGACAATTAAAAGATCATTTGACCATTATTTGATATTAAAACATGTTTCACAAATTATAAAAAAGTAATAATCTTAAATGCTGTATTCCTTGATTCTAAATTCTACCAAAAATTCTTTCTCAAAGATTTTTACCTACATTTTACAGTTTGAACCAAAATACTAAAAAGAAATTACTATATTTTGACAGAAATGTAAGCCCCTTAGAAATTAGGAATGGCTATATCCTACTCACATTAACTAGAAAGGAGAAAAACCAACAGAGTGAATCAAAAGCAAAGGTCTCACAAAAGGTAAAGATAGGGAGAATTTGTCAATTGACCTTAGAGAATTTTTTCATTTTTTGTTTTTTTGCTCTCTGATCCCCTTATTAAGAAAATGTAACCTTTTTCTATGTGATGTGTTCAGTGGTTAATATAAGCCAGGACATCCCCAAACTCCTAACATATTATTAAGCCATGAAAGGACCCTACATTTTTGCAATCATCTGTCCTACTAGCCTAGGTATTAAAATATTTACCTTCAATAATTTCCAGACATGTAAAATGTCCTCCACCCCTTGATTAGAATTATTCTTGTATTAGTACTTAAAAATGTTCATTGTCCTTTAATATCATTCCAATAATCATAATCAACACTGTGGAGTGAGCTCCATGGAGTGATAATACACCGCAACCAATCACTTACCTTGGCCTCCAGCTGTTCTGACTTACAATCCCTTTCTCCCACAGAGCTTGCAACAATGAAAACTTTTGCTTAATTAAGCACAAAGCAAGATTTTTCATGTCCTGAACACGGCAGAAGCCTGCTAAACATTTCTTAAGAGTACACATCAGGGCATTTCAAATCACTGTGATTGTAACCGCAGAGAAACTCAGCACAGAGCACATGTTCAACTCTCATTAACAAGAAAATGACAGTCAGTCACCTTTGCCTGCTGCTACTCCTGGTTCAGCAATGATGGGTCCTCAGCTGGTGCTAATCAGAGAGTAAAGACCTCAGGGACAGAGCCAGCCATTCCCCAAATCTGCCCCTACCTGAGTGAACTTGATGGTGAAGATGGCATGAGACCTACTACTGACGTCGTTCATCCCAGTCGCTGCAGTGGTACGGTTGATGTTTCCTGCATCCATAAGTTCTTCTACATCACTGTAATTCTGTACTAAATGTTTGGACAAGTCTGGAAAAAAAAAGAAGGGGTGAGGAAATCTTCCTAATATATAGTAAATGGAATAAGAAACTTACCTCTATGAAATAATACACGACTGGACAAAGATTGTATATGTTCCTATAGCAGGGTAGTTAATAAGTCACTGAGAGCTGGGCCTCCTGGGGTCAGATCCCAGCTCTGCTGCTTACCGAGACACATAGCCCGTCATGCCTCCTCCATAGCCCACCACGCCTCCTCCGTCATCTCATCTAAATAACGCATGCCTAACGTGGGGATAAATGCTAGCCATTCTCATCAGCCTCATTAGCTTTAGTCATAGCACACAGAAGGAAATGTAAACACTGACTTCAGGCAACATGCAAAAGCATTTTTTAAATCCTCTTTAAAACGTTTTTATTCATTTTCTTGGGAACATTCACATAGTTCCAAAGTCAAATACTACAAAACACGTAAAAAGTGTCCCCCTCCTCCTCCCCTACCACCTACGCCCCCCAACCCCTCTGTCAGGCAACCCAATGTCACCACTTCCTCCGTGCCCTTCTACAAAGAACCTGCACACATACAAAAAATTACATATGTTAAAAAATCTTTTCCCCTTTCACACAAATGGCAGCATACCAAAAACTCAGTTTTACATCCTGCTTTTTTCTATGTAATAATGATTTAAGAATATTCTGTACCAGTTAAGGTGATTCCTCATTCATTTTTATAGCTGCAGAGCATTCAACTGTCTGAATATGCCATAACCAATTTAAATAGTTGCCTATTGAGATTATAGAGGTTGTATATATTTTGTTTCCAATTATAAGTAACACTATTATAAATAATATTGTACATAGGTCTTTTCAAATGTGTGTAAATATTTATGCAGAATAAATTCTTAAGAGGTGGAATAGCCTGATCAAAGCATATTTGAAATTTTGAGAGATAATGCAAAAATTGTTCTCCATAGAGGGCAATTAAGAAGACCCAGCAGTAGCAATATATGAGACTGCCTATCTCCTAACACTGTCCTGTCAGGCTTACTCACATATGCCAGAGATAGGTAACAAATGTAATCTTAAAGAATTTTTATTTTACTTTTCTCTATGAATGAGGCTTAATGTTCTTTCCTCCACTTAAAAATCACCCATATTTCTATTTCTATGAACAGTCTATTGACATCCTTTGTTCATTTTTCTACTCAGTTGTTGGACCTGTCCTTATTGATTTATAGGAGCTCTTTATATACAGTGATAAAATTAGTTCTTTGTCTGAAACTTGAATTGAAAATATCTCCCCCACTTTATAAGTTGTCTTTTTACTTTGCTTATGGTATTTCTGCCAAGTGTAAAGTCTTTTTTTACCACTTCAAATTTAACACATTTATTTCATGGTTTCTGGATTTTAAGTAAAATTTCTTAAAGCCTTCCCTTCTCCAAACTTCTGGAAATAAGTAACTTAATAACTCATGTTCCCCCAATGTTTGAACAGAAAATTTATTAGAAACTAAATCCCCATGTGTACCTGCATTAGATTCTGGATGTTTTACCCAGTTTGACTATTCTGTCTCTTCATAAACCAGAGTTATAATATGTTTAACATCTGATAAGACAATTAAAGGGAAAACATGAAAGCACAGTTAGGCTAAATCTATTAACGATAATAGCTGTTACAAACTCCACGAAAGAAATACATAATCACACACCTTACTTTGGGCATAAAAGGCCAAAGTTCAATTGGCAATTTAATAAAATGCAGAATGGTGCACCTGATATCTGCGGGTAAAAAGAATAACCATAACAGGAACATCCTTCAACCCATGACCAACTCTCAGTCTTGCCTCCAAAGAGACACACGCAAAAGACAATCACACAAAAGCACATCCATGTATATGATTCCTGCAAGCCAGCCATTACTTGGCTGCCTTATTCAAAATAAGTGAGGATAGTTTTTTTTATAAAAAGAACCTTAAATCCAGTCTCTTTTTAAAATAATTAGCACAGGCCTTCCCATCATTCATCTATACTTGTGATTCCACACAACTGATTGTAACACAAATCCTAAGAACCACAGCACAGGCTACTCTGCAAATGACCTTCTCGAAAGGCAAGACAACTTAGAATCTCCTTATGGTCATATGTTACCATTAGTATGAGTAAAAATATACAGCTAAAATGCAATGCCATTTAAAAGGATAGGTTATAAGGTTGCTTATCTTGCCTGAGAATATTGGAAAACAAATTACCAGAGAGTTCTTAAAGTCAGAGGAAATCTATAGGCAAGCCCCAGAAAATGAGTGAATGCACAGTGAAGTATGAATTCATTAAATAAATACTGAAGAGGTAAACATAAATCACCTCCTCGCATAACCTCTGCAAAAATTACAACTAAACTACAAAACAACTATCACCCAGAATCATCAGAAAATCAAGCTGTATGGAAGTCCAACAACCAAGGAATTAAAGAAGTTCCATTCATCTAGACAGGCAGAAAGGACAGAGACGCAGAGACACTGTATGGGTGATCCCACGCCCACATGTGGTAGGTAAAAATTGGGAGGAATACCTTGGGAATGAGGGATCACAGCCCCACAACAGACCACCCAGCCCAGGGTTCCAGTGCCAGAAACAGAAGTCCTTATTACTTCTGGCTATAAAAACCATTACAGGTGTGGGACAGCAGAAGAAACTGCAGGATTCTCTGGTATCTCCTCTTAAAGGGCCCACAACGAACTTAGGACTTCTGTAGAATCACTCCCTCTGGGCTCTTGCACTGGGGCAACAGCTAGAAGGGCACCAATGGCATACAGGGAGAAACTGAAGTGTCTGGCATCAGAGTGAGTGCCAGGGGACAGCTTCCTCCCAGACAAAACTCTAGAAGCCACGCAGCAGCATTGTTCCCTTTCTGAGCCCTCCTCCACACAGAGCCACAGAGCACTGACACCATATCTGAGACTCCATCAACATGATTCACACTGGTTGCCCCACACTGGTGATTACCTAAGGCTCCACCCCATCCAACTTACCAGCACACTTTTCTATAATAGGCCATTCCACTAAGACAGCAGCTCTACCTAATACATAGAAACAAACACAGGGAGTCTGCCAAAATGAGGAGACAAAGAAAATGGCCCAAATCAAAGAACAGAACAAAACTCCAGAAAAAGAACTAAACAAAATGGAGATAAGCAATCTATCAGATGCAGATTTCAAAACATTGGTTATTAGGATGCTCAAGGAACTCATTGGGTACTTCAATATCATAAAAAAGACTCAGGCAGAAATTAAGGTTACATACACTAAGTGAAATAAAGAAAAATTTACAGGGAACCAACAGTGCAGTGGATGAAGCCAAGAATCAAATCAATGATTTTGAACATAAGGAAGAAAAAGACATTGAATCAGAACAGCAAGAAGAAAAAAGATTCCAAAAACATAAGGATAGGCTATGGAACCTCTGGGAAAACTTCAAATGTACCAACATGCTAATCAAAAGAGTGCCAGAAGGAAAAGAAGAAGAGCAAGAAATTGGAAATGTTTTAAAAAAAATGAAAGAAAACTTCTCTATTTGGTGAAAGATACAGGCATGCAAGACCAGGAAGCACAGTCCCAAACAAGAGGGACACAAAGAGGACCACACCAAGACACATCATAATTAAAATGCTAAAGGTCAAAGATAAAGACAGAATCTTAAGCAGGAGGAGAAAAGCAGAGCCTTACCTACAAAGGAGTTCTTATACGACTGTCAGCTAATTTCTCAAAAGAAACTTTTCAGGCAAAAAGGGACTTGAAAGCAGTATTCAAAGTGATGAAAAGCAAGAAACCTACAATGTAAATTACTCTATCCAGCAAAGCTATAGTTTAGAATGGAAGGGCAGATAAAGTGCTTCCCAGACAAGGCAAAGCTAAAGGAGTTCATCACTCACCAAGCCCTTATTATATGAAATGTTAAAGGGACTTATTTAAGAAAAAGAAAATCAAAACCATGAACATTAACATGGTAATGAATTCACAACTATCAACAACTGAATCTAAAAAAACTAAACAAACAAGCAGAACTGAAACACAATCACAGATAGGGAGATCATTTGGATGACTATCCATTGGGAGGGGAAGAAGGAGGAAAAAGGTACAGGGATTAAGAACTACAAATTGGTAGGTATACAATAGACAGGGGGATGATAAGAACAGTATAGGAACTGAAGTAGCCAAATAACTTACATGCACAACTTATTGACATGAACTAAGCAGAAACTGCTGGGGGGAATGGGGGCTACTGGGTGGAGGGAGCAAAGGGGAAAAATTGGGACAACTGAAGTAGCATAATCAGTAAAATATATTTTTAAAAAACATTCTGTAGCAACATACATCATTTTTAAAATAATAAACTGTCAAAAATAAAAAAACTAAAGTCTCACTGTTATCCTTTTTTCCCTTGAAACTATTATTTTTGCACGAATTCCAAATATGAATAGGGCTTCAAAATATTCACTCTTACCCTCAACATACGGTCCTTCTTTTGGATGCTCACGGACTCTTAAATTGAAGGTTTTGGATGACTTCCGCCTAAGTAGATCTCTCACACGTTCATTATAAATTTCTAAGTAGCTAAAAATTTTAAATAGAATTGAAATCAAAGAAATTATTTTAGATATTAAAAATAACAGCAACATGCATTTATAGTTGGTAACTATACATCAAGTACTTTGCTAAGCACTCTACATGGAATATTTCATTTAATACTGACAATAACCCAAAGGTAAGTGCTACAATTATCCCCATTTTATAGGTTAGGCAATGGAGGATTAGGGTGGTTTAAATAATTTGTGCAAGGCCATACAGCTACTAAGAGGTAAAGCAGTCATAAGAACTCTTAATTTTTTTATCTGTCCTCAAAACCCCTGAAGAAATGAGCTCCCAGAAACATTTAATTTCAAGGAGGAAAGAACACCTCAACTAGCCAGATTTATTTAAAAATCAGATTTATAATGATGCCACCAATATAAAGAAAAACACAAACCGTATTCAGGTAAAAGGTAAGTGAACTGGGTATGCACTTAAAAGTCAAATGCTCACTCCATTTCAGGAAAACATCTGAAATTAGTGTTTCTGACCAACCTAGGTTATTTTCACTAGCCTAATCCCAAATCCTAATTCAAATTGTACCCAAGAAAGTCACTGAAAACAAATGTTTTTAAAGCTTTTATGCCCAAATACCATAGTTCAGGAAGGTTCCCTTCAGGAACCCAAAGGCTTTATGCACTTCTGGCACCTAAAAGCAAGCTCCAGCCAAGCTCACACTCGCTCCAGTCATGGGCCCCTACCTGACTTCAGTTCGAAAAGATGCTTCATCCCATCTGGTGGTTTCATTTATCCGACTAAAGAGCCCTTCACATATCCGAGGTATTAAACCAGAATCACCCTGCAGTGGGAAAGAGGAATGGCAACAGCTGTCACAAACCAAAAGCAACTGGTGATTGAATAGGTAGTTTGGTGGAGGGGTCTGCAGGCCAATCCCAAGCCTACCACCCAGCACCCAACACACATCATTTACCACTGCTTCCTACTCTCTCAAATAAGATGATTGAGCTTTCTAATTTCTACACACTGAAATTATGGTAATATATGGTTATCAGCTGCTAATCAGTTAAACCATGGCTTGAAAACATAAGAAAACTTATTCTCTAACTTTCAAACAAGACCATCTACAGCTATAGAATAAATGTTAAAAATCTGATCAAGTCAAGTGACCGGAGAAGGTGAAACGTACACTTGGACAGAAAAGAAACACCAAGGAAACCTTAGTAAATCCCAAAAATAGCTAATTGTCTTAAAACTTAGGTGATAAGACCACATTAAACAGGTAAGATATCCCTCTTTTGAGGCACTAATTGCTACACTGGCCTTCCTAGACAAGAATTGCTTTATATATTATATTACTTATACAATATGGGCACAATCAATAATTTTCATGTTTCAGTCAGCATTAACAAGCTGATGAACAGAAGAACGACACGAGGCAAAATGTTAGGAAAGTGAAACCTCCAAGCCTCAATGTTTTCTTCTAAAGTCTGTCTTCATGTTCACTCAATCCCACACTCCAAATTTAAAACAAATACCATCACAGCTTTAACAGACTTTTTCTTTATACCATTAAATATGTACAAATTCTTATCAAGAAAAAGTAAGCCTTTCACCATGCATTTTGTTCTTCAAAAAAAAATTTTTTAAAGAATTCACAAACAGTACTCAACTGTAAGGTCAGAGAAAACAGCTACAATTTAAGAGTGCTTTACACACATGTAACTTAGGAAAAATAGCTCTAGGGTAATTTAACTTTCAGAAAAGGTTGTTGTTTTTCCCCCTAAGAGGCACAGTAGGAGAGTAAGAAGAGAAATGTAATGATAAAAGGAAATGCATCTGTTTGCTCTTTCCTATTTATTCTTCCCCACTTTTCAGCACTGAGGACTCTCCCGTACAGCATCTTTCTACTAATCATATCAAGGAAAGGCCTGGAGTTAGAGGCTAGAACACGTGTACTGAAATGCTTCCATCTGGAGTAATGGAGCCTCCTTTACTGCACATGTGCCACTGAACCCTTAGCACTGAAGGCACCACTGTGTTCGCCAGCAGGAAGCTTGCAATCTGCTGCTACTGTTTCCATCCAGAACATACCATGGGTATGAGAATCAGTGAACAGGTTTCCCCACAACATAAAAAAAAGTAAAACACACAGCACTATCTAGACCTGAAGAAAATACAGATGAGATAAAGTTATGGCAAAAATGCCTAGTTTTTGCTCCTCATATTTGGGGGCACATATAACTTAAAGGTCCCTTAATTTATATAGCATAACTACTAAACTCTATGTCCTATGTTTACAGCCATATACATGCTATACAAACTGTATAATTCTAACCCTTTTTATGTATTTGTTGAATTTCTGTAGTACATTTCTACCAAAGAGTTAGAATATTTTTACATTTTTCTTGGGGAAAAATGTTTTGAATAATTTTAAATTGAAGAGAGTTCAGTAATTTTATTCAAACTGCTATGCTGGCAGAAAAGAAGAATAAATTACTTGAGTGCCCAGCATACATTCTGGATAAGATTATAGAGCCTTTAAAAATAGAAAATGAACTGAGACTTGCATCCATTATTCAGGCTTATAAACTTAAAACTGTTTCTAACTTAAAATCTCTCAAATGAAATTTAGTCCAACTTATTACTGAGTTTTATCTTACTGCGAAAGAATGATCAGATCATGAAAAGCAAGTTGGTACAAGAAAAGTAGATAACAGAGACAATTTTATCAGTTTAAAGAGAGATAAGGAAAATTTTCTTCCCACAGTGTGTAAACAACATACAGAATTTCCCATCATAGTGTATGACTTTCCCGATCCAGTCTGTCCATATGCAAAGACACAAGCGTTATAACCTTCAAATGCAGACTTCACAACATCTGTCCCAAGGGTTTTGAAAACCTGAAAGCCAAAAAGAAAAAAAAGATACAATTACCACAGATTTAAATAAAAGTCCCTTCAGTATTGACAATATCTCGAATGCTTTTATCTCATAAGGATTACACTACATTAATAAATCACTGCAGAACCATTAACAACAAAGTATATGTGATTTTTATGTGTGTGTGTGTGTGTGTGTGTGTGTGTGTGTGTGTGTGTGTGTATTCCCAGGTTTATAAAAAGGAAACTTTTTAAACAAGCAAAAAGGAACCTTTATCCTTCTTTCTACTTAACATTAACAAAAAATTCCTTAAATATAAAAATGTAAACAATGCAAAGTGGCAATCATACATAGAAGCAAAGATGATTTTAAAGCATAATGATATACCATTTTAGAAATAAACTTATAAAGTTATTCATTCTATCAGAGGTTCCAGAAACTAAATATTCAAAACCCCAAAGTCATAGCAGCCAGAAGTTATTGCCCAAACCATGCCAAACCAATGCCATCATCTTTATGGTCCAGCTATTCACCAAAATAAGTGCCTGAAGTGGATGCAGCAGCATGGCTGGACTCCCCAGTCAGAGAACAGATGCCTTTTCCTACTTGGATATTTGCCCAAGGCGGAGAGCATGTGCAGCCAAGCTCTGCAGGGCCTGTGCCCATGTCTGCTGCGCCACATAACTGCAATGGGATACTCTGAGGTGAAGGACAAGTAGTTCGCCCAGACAATTGATATAAATGAAGCAAATCAAGATTCATGGTCATCCTCAATACAGCCATCTGGGAAGGGGACCAAAAAAAGCTTTCCAAATCCCCACAAGCCTTCATGTCGCCCCTGCACTCTCTGACTAGCATTCTAAGGGCACAAAAAATATCCTCCTCCTTTATAAGGCACATCAGGACTTCCAGCCAAGATGGAGGCATAGGTAGATATGCTTTGCCTCCTTGAACAACCAAAAAAAGGACGACGACCAATTTAAAAACAAAAAACAACCAGAACTGACAGAAAACTGAACTGTATGGAAGTCCAACAACCAAGGAGTTAAAGAAGAAACATTCAAATAGATTGGTAGGAGGGGCAGAGACAGCAACCAGGGCGGAAAGGACTAATTGTGAGGTGGCAGCTGGCTGGTGAGGTAGAGACTGGTGAAGCAGGCGGTCCCACATTTGTGTGCAGATAAACCAGGAAGAACCACTGGGGAGTAAGACAAACCGCTCAACCCAGGGTCCCAGTGGGGGGAAATAAAGCCTCAAACCACCAATTGAAAACACCTGTGGGGGTTGAGGTGGCAGTGGGAGAAACTCCCAGCCTCACAGGAGAGTTCGCTGGAGAGACCCACAGGGTCCTACAATGTACACAAAACCATCCACCCAGGAATCAGCACCAGACAGGCCAAATTTGCTTGTGGGTAGCAGAGGAAGTGACTGAAAGCTGGCATAGAGCTAAGCAAGAGGGATTGTTCCCTCTTGGGCCCCTCCTCCACACACAGTGCCACAACACAGCTTCATGGTTGCCCCACCCTGGCAAATACATAAGGCTTCACCCCTTACTACAACAGGCAGGCAGAGACAAAAAAATATGGCCCAAATGAAATAACAGATCAAAGCTCCAGAAAAAATACAACTAAGCAACGAAGAGATAGCCAACCTGTCAGATACACAGTTCAAAACACTGGTAATCAGGATGCTCACAGAAATGGTCAAAAAATAGAGGAAAAAGTGAAGGCTATGCAAAGAGAAGTAAAGGAAAATATACAGGGAAATCAACAGTGACAGGAAGGAAACCAGGACTTAAATCAACGGTGCAGACCAGAAGGAAGAAATAAACATTCAACCGAACAAAATGAAGAAACAAGAATTCAAAACAATGAGGAAAGGCTTAGGAACCTCAGGGGAAACTTTAAACATTCCAACATCTGAATCATAAGGGTGCCAAAAGGAGAAAAGGAAGAGCAAGAAATTGAAAATTTATTTGAACAAATAATGAAGGAGAACTTCCCCAATCTGGCAAAGGAAATAGACTTCCAGGAAGTCTAGGAAGCTCAGAAAGTCCCAAAGAATTTGGACCCAAAGAGGAACACACCAAGGCACATCATCATTAAGTTACCCAAGATTAAATATAAAGAGAGAATCCTAAAAGCAGCAAGAGAAAAAGAGACAATTACCTACAAAGGAGTTCTCATCAGACTGTCAGCTGATTTATAAAAAGGAACCTTACAGGCAAGAAGGGGCTGGAAAGAAGTATTTGAAATCATGAAAGCTAAGGACCTACATCCAAGATTACTCTATCCAGCAAAGCTTTCATTTAGAATGGAAGGGCAAATAAAGTGCTTCCCAGATAAGATCAAGTTAAAGCCCTTATTACATGAAATGTTAAAGGGACTTACCTAAGAAAAAGAAAATCAAAAATACGAACAATAAAATGACAACAAACTCACACCTATTAACAAATGAACCTAAAAGAAAAGAAAAATAACAAAAACAACAACTAAGCAAACAACCAGAACAGGAACAGAATCCGAGAAATGGACATCACAGAGAAGGAGGTCAGTGGGGAGGAGGAAAGGAGGGATGGGGGAAAAAGGTACAGGGAAGAAGAAGCATGATTAGGAGGCATAAAATAGACAGGAAAAGATAAAAAATGGCATAGGAAACAGAGGACTCAACTTATATCTACAACCCATGGACATGAACTCGGGAGGGGAGTAAATGCTGGAGGGTTGGGAGTCAGGGTGGAGAGGGGATAAAGGGGGAAAAATCGGGAAAACTGTAATAGCATAATCAATAAAAAATACTTAAAAATACAAGCAGCAAAATGATAACAAACTATCAACAACTGAACCTAAAAAAAAACAAAACAAAACCAAACTAAGCAAACAAGTAGAACAGGAACAGATTTATAGAAACAGAGATCACATGGAAGGTTATCAGTGGGGAGGGAACAGGGGTGGGAATAGGAGAAAAAGTACAGGGAATAAGAAGCATAAATGGTAGGCACAAAATAGACAGGGGGAGGTTAACAATACTATGGGAAATGGAGAAGCCAAAGAACTTATATGTACGACCCACGGACAAAATGGGACAACTGTAATAGCATAATCAATAAAATATATATGATAAAAAAACAAGGCACATCAAAGGGAGGGAGTGTGATCAGACTCTCAGTCAGAGAAAGAGTAAGGCACTGCTTTGCAGGGTCATCAAAGTGCAAGGTGGGAGCCTCACCAATCCCTCAGGTATGCATAAGTCTCTGGAAGTGATGCCAGGTTTGCAGACCCATCATCTCCCCTGCAGTGACCTAGGGCCCTCTGGCCAGAACGCCTACTCCCTAGAAAGGGCTGATAAACACTGGCCACCTCAATCTCAGCCCTACAGAAACCACCCCTGCTAACAGCACAGCCTGTCACCCAAGGCCAAGATAAAGACACAGCCAACTGGACTTCCACTTTCTTCAGGCACCATTTCCCCACCACCTTGTTTGGACTCTGTTTTCCCTCAACCTTGTCAGTTAGAGAGTTACAAACTGTCATTTTAATTGAGTCCTTTCCACAAATGACCAGTCTCATTCATTCTGAGTTAATTTTTATCTATTTCAGTTTTTAGGAGCTGAAATGTTCTGATCTTATTTTCAAATTCAGATGATTTAACTCTCAACTATAATTGCAGCTCACACTGTGTTCATGTACTCATCCTCATAAAAAAATGCTACAGGGTGAGTAGTGCTGCTAGATCCATTTTTCAGGAGCTGAAATTAGGTCACTGGGCATACACAGTGAGTGGTGGGGTTGGGATTTGAACTCAGGACCTTCTGACCAAAAAGCCTGTGCATCTAAAGGCCTCATAGCATGTGTCCTCTTCATATACCCTCAACATCAACTACAAGGTCCCTACCCTACCTGGAAAGATCCCCTCCTCCCACTAACTCTTATGAAGAAGCAAAAGGCAGGAATTGCAGGGAGACTCAGGGCTCCAGACCCCCCATTTTAGGTTCATTTTCACCACTATATAAGAAAGATGAGGAAAAACTCTTCAATTCTCTCTGATTAAACAAAAGGTATCCATCATTTTAACCATCTCAGTGCCAATGGAACGAAGAACAGCCTTCCATAAACTTCCCAAAGAGTTTCCCTTATACTTTTGTCTGGAATAAAACAAAGTCATGGAAAATATATTGAGTTAGCCAAAATGACCACTTGATTTTTTTTCCATATAATAGTAGTCTTTAGTTGTCTTTAACTTCATTCAAAACAATTTTGTTAGATTGTATTGTGACAGCTGTCATACCAGTATGCATTAAAAAAAAAAACATCAAAATTGGTGAACTTTTGTGCAGCCATTTTAATATTGAAGATGGAAGAAAATATGCAACATTTTCAATGTATTATGCTTTATTATTTCAAGAAAGGCAGAAACACAACTGAAATACACAAAAAAAGATTTGTGCAGTATATGGGGAAGGTGCTATGACTGATTGAATGTGTCAAAAGTGGTTTCAAAGTTTCTTGTACTATTGACATTTGGGCCAAATAACTTTTTGCTGCAGGGCTGTCTTATGCATTGGAAGATGCATAGTAGCACCTCTGGCCTCTACCCGCTAGAAGCCAATAGTGGGAGACAGCCAACATACTCAAAATGTCCAAATCAGTAAAGTTATTGGTGAAAATTAAAAATGTGTCTTTTATTTTACAGAAAAAAACTAAAAAGACGTTTTGGTCAACCCAACATTTAAACCAAACCCAAAAGTTTTCAAAATGAAATTTTTGCCTAGGGTTAAAATCTACACCCACCATTTTGCTACTATTTTATTTTCCACAAAGTTAACTCAGCTGGAGTTATCTGACAGAGGGGCAGGGTTGTGGGGGATAGGAAGTTAAGGGGGTATCACAGGTGGCGCTAGCAGCATGAGTATAAAATGGGGCTACAAAATGCAGGTCTGGAGGCACTGAGACACAGGCCTGGCTCAATCTCAGCTTCAAGTAACCCACCCAAAGATGGCAAGGGATCCAGAGAAGCAGCC